TATACCTTTGAAGTGTCTTTAAGACCCTTAAGGACTTTTTATGACTGGTTAAGGTTTCTGGCAGCTTTGGAGAATCGTTAAGGTCTGTGATAGGGTAATGTACGGTTTCAAGTTTAATACTCAAAACTGGTTCTACGATATCAACCTTTGAATACCCATGGAGTTACTCAGAGCCCACTAGGGAATGCAATCCCGCAGCAAAATCTCAATCCCGGTATTTGCGGGATTGCTAGATGTTAATCCCGCGAGATCCCGGTATTTGCGGCATCCCGCAAAACTTTAAATAAATTGGCAACCAAGCAATTCTGTGCGGTTAATTTCTGCATTAAAATAATCGCTAATTATCACAATATTTAACAAAAAAGTACCTTCGGCCTAACTTAGAACTCAAAAAACCCTCACCTGTAAAGCACAAAAAGGTGAACTTCTAAAGTGCCTCAAAAATCATAGTAAATTTTTAACGAAAAAAGTTTAACAATTATATAAAAAATAACTTCTCCGTTATGCCTTTCATTAACAAAGTAAACAGAGTCGTCCACTTGGTCGACAAATTCCTCCGTCCCGCAAATCCCGCGGGAACCCGCTCCATTGATGTGCGGGATCCCGGTATTTCGGGATCCCGCGATCCCGGTATTGCTTTCCCTAAATGTGACCTGTAGAATCCATAATTTCAAACAGTTCCAAGATTGGGCTACTAGTTCAAAAGTTACAGCCCTTTGAACTTTTTCGAAGTTACAGCCCTTTGAATTTTTTTTCGAAATTAGTTTCTAGTCTATAACTTTTGATTGAGAAGTCTGATCGAAAAAGTACGAATTGTTTTGGATTCTACGCACCAAAATTAATAAAAAAAGTGTTTTCCCGAGAAATTTTGGTGCAGTCGATTTTTGGTAATAAAGGAAGGTTATACACTGCCTTTTTTTGAGCCCCGAAAAAAAATTGTCTGATCGATCCGGAAAAAAATGTTCTTATAGAATGTGGCCTGTAGAATCCTTAATTTCAAACAGTTCCTAGATTGGGCTACTAGTTCAAAAGTTACAGCCCTTTGAATTTTTTTTCGAAATTTGTTTCTAGTCTCTATAACTTTTGATTGAGAAGTCTGATCGAAAAAGTACGAATTGTTTTGGATTCTACGCACCAAAATTAATAAGAAAAAGTGTTTTCCCGAGAAATTTTGGTGCAGTCGATTTTTGGTAAAAAAGGAAGGTTATACACTGCCTTTTTTTGAGCCCCGAAAAAAAAATTGTCTCAGATCGATCCGGAAAAAAAATTTTCTTATAGAATGTGGCCTGTAGAATCCATAATTTCAAACAGTTCCAAGATTGGGCTACTAGTTCAAAAGTTACAGCCTTTTGAATTTTTTTTCGAAATTGGTTTCTAGTCTATAACTTTTGATTGAGAAGTCTGATCGAAAAAGTACGAATTGTTTTGGATTCCACGCACCAAAATTAATAAGAAAAAGTGTTTTCCCGAGAAATTTTGGTGCAGTCGATTTTTGGTAAAAAAGGAAGGTTATACACTGCCTTTTTTTAAGCCCCGAAAAAAAAATTGTCTCTGATCGACCCGGAAAAACAATGTTCTTATAGAATGTGACCTGTAGAATCCTTAATTTCAAACAGTTCCAAGTTTGGGATACTAGTTCAAAAGTTACAGCCCTTTGAATTTTTTTTCGAAATTGGTTTCTAGTCTAACTTTTGATTGAGAAGTCTGATCGAAAAAGTACGAATTGTTTTGGATTCTACGCACCAAAATTAATAAAAAAAAAGTGTTTTCCCGAACAATTTTGATGCAGTCGATTTTTGGTAAAAAAAGGAAGGTTATACACTGCCTTTTTGTGAGCCCCGAAAAAAAA